GCTAGTGTTAGTGCCAGTATTGTTACATAAAATTTAAATCAAGAAACTTTCTACACGCCTATAAATATAACCAATGCAACGTGCCAAGAAACAGTATCCATTATTGGGTTGGTATAACTGGCGTGCTAGAAACTTCGTAAGCTATAACTGTGACTAACGCTTATTAATTTGGAACTTCAGATATATTGACCAGGAATGTTTATAAATTTTGAACATTACAAACCATTTAACTTCAGTGGATTCAGGTTCCAGACTAGAAAGATGACTTTATTTTGCTTGTAAGTTTGTAAAACTTTTGTATATAAATCATTGTTTGTAATAACTATTTGTAATAACTGTTATTGTATTATTGTTTGTGTATTACAATATATTTGTATATAAAAAAAACAACTTTGTATCAATCTTGTTGGCAAATATAAATTGGAGATATATTGACATTTATTTAACTATTAAATCCAAAGTACGATTTAACTCAGTTTTAGGCTATTTGAAGTTGTAATACGTAACAAGTACCTTAGGCTTACTTCACTCAAGGGACAGACAAATCGAGTAACTACCTTGCTGAACTTCAAAAAAACCACTGGTACCAAAGTTGACACTTCCACAATGCAACAAAAAGAAGGGTTGAAAGGGTGCACAGTACCGTAAGTATCAACTGAGATGAAACACTGAACCCAAAAGTTTTCACAATGGAAATTAATCCCATACAGCAATTCTTGTTTTTCAGACTTAATTCAAAAGTATGACATTACTGGAGACCACTCAACATGAAAGAAAAGAAACTATCATCACAAACTTTTGTCTTTCTTTTTCTAAGAAAATTAACTACTTTATCTGATACAAAGTTTGAAGCTAATGCCATGCATGCTTTTTTATTATGTTAAATTCTAAGTTCTGAACTTCAAGCATTTTGACTTGATCCTAATACATTTTGGATTAATGAAACAATGCTTGTGTATTGAGAGAAAATGTATTTTCTTTTTTTAAACATAACTACAACATCCCATACTGATACTTAACACTATCCAATAAAAATATAATGTGGCAACATGTATACTGTTTCTTCATACCGAACATTTTCTTTTACACATTTGAAAGTGGTCAGCATTAACTAGACCAGGCCTCCCAACAGTGTCAACTGCTGCCAGACTTTAAAATAAAGGCTAAATTAGACAAATTACAGGTTATTTTTAGTTACGTCTCTATTTATGGAAGTGTTATATTATAATTAAGTCCTACAGAACCAAATATATATTTCAAACATTGCTGTGTCCTGAAGCAGCCACTCATGGATTCTTCTATTGCATTTACTTGGAAAAATAATTTAACTTTGAGGTCTTATTCTAACACTGTATGTGTCACTGGCCATAATAAGAGTCTTCTTCAGGGCATACATGTGATGGCTATAACTAAGATCTAAGTCTTACATTTTAAATAAAGAGCAAAAACATTATATTTCTGTTAATATACGTTTTTTTTTACAGACTAGAGCCTTACAACACATGCTATTATGAACTTTAAAAGGTTCTTTGAGCAACTATAAAGGTTTTAAAGGATTGCTTGAAGGCTTCTGTGTAGTGGTAATGGTTTTTTTGGTCAAAATAACTAAGTCAAAAACAGTGTACACCTGTAGTGGGAGCCATGTATAAATTACCAATGTTTCTTTTATGGAGTATCAACTCTGTTTCTGTTAAAATTCAAAAACAAAGCAAAGTATAGTACTGTGATTTAAACTAGGATAGAGAAAAAAAATCTCATACCATCTTTTTCAAACTGCTTGGTATCGTATTTTCCCAAGAAATATTCCTGAACGTGTTTCTGCAAGGGGGAAAAAAAAACTATAAATATATATATATACAAGGATGTTGAAAGGAATTTACATTCTAAATGATAATTAAAAAGTTGGCCAGTTGGGTAAATATTGTCATTGTATGAATAAAAACGTTCGTTTTATTTGTACATTTGTGTTCGCTTGTTTTTTTCAGTCCATTTTCAAACTTACTTTCTTTTTAATATTTCATGAAACTACTGTTTATTACAATTACTTATAACTTTTCTGTTGAACATTAGTGTAACTTAAAAGGAAGAACTGTTAAACATTTATAATTCATGACAGTTGTAGGTTACAGCATATACAGTTCATTTTGAGATCATTACACAATTCTGAAACGTTAACAATTTCACAAGTTTTTAGCTAAACTAAATTAAAAACAAGAAGAAAAAATCAGTGGTATCACTTACCTTACTTAATGCATTTTCTTCATGATATTGCCTAAGAAAACGTCCGTGGCAAAGTTCATAGGTCCAGTACTGTTCCAGCTGCAAACAAAGTTTTCAAAAGAGTGAATTCAGAACTATATTACTGAAATAAAAATATGAACATGGGTGACAGTGACTACAAAACAACAGTTATTTTTCTGGCTAATTTCTCTGTTAATCACTTAGAAATATGCTTTGTATGTCAAAAAGCCATAAAATTTCATAATTAAATGACTTTAGGAAAGTTTTAAATTCATTTCTCTGTATAATAACAAATTCTCAAAATACTATTCTTACACTAAGAGCATGTTACTATAGTAAGTAATTACTGTACAAGCATGTCACTATAATAAATCATCAATATATCCTCTGTACAAGCAAGAAACTATAATAAGAATATCAATGCTTACTCTAAGTTTAGAAAAAACTACCTTTATACTCCAGATATATATATAATATAACTTTTTTTATTTTAACCAATGTTTTGTCTTTGTAGCTTCATCAGGGTTAATATACAAAAGTTGGAGTTGGAGTAAAAATATCGTTTTTTGAAACTTTTTAATCAAAATGTGTAAATCTCTCCAGTATGCACTACAAATGTTGAAAGACAACAAATAAATTACTCTGTAAAGATATCAGTAAAGTAAATTTTGAATCAGTACTCTGTATGAGCATATTACTACAATAAGTCACCAATACTCACCCTGTATGAGCATATCGCTACAATAAGTCACCAATACTTACCCTGTATGATCATGTCACTATCATAAGTCAGCAATACTCACCCTCTATGAGCATGTCACTATCATAAGTCACCAATAATCACCTTGTATGATCATAAGTCAGCAATACTCATCCTGTACGAGCATGTCACTACAATAAGTCACCAATACTCACCCTGTATGAGCATGTCACTAAAACAAGTCACCAATACTCATCCTGTACGATCATGTCACTACAATAAGTCACCAATACTCAACCTGTATGAGCATGTCACTAAAACAAGTCACCAATAGTCATCCTGTATGATCATGTCACTACAATAAGTCACCAATACTACCTGTATGAGCATGTCACTATCATAAGTCACCAATAATCACCCTGTATGATCATGTCACTATCAATAAGTCACCAATACTACCTGTATGAGCATGTCACTATCATAAGTCACCAATAATCACCCTGTATGATCATGT